CACTGGATAGCTGGCCAATCAGCGTACACCTCGCTTTTCAGACCGATGAGCTTTGTAAAAATCGACGCGTTTCAGAAAGGCGGGGCATAGAGGAGAAACAATAATGTACAGTATGTGGAAAATAATGTGTTTTTTTAACCTTAAACCGCATAAGCACATTTCATTACACCAAATACACAAAATAATGTTCTTTTTAGCAAACTCATATGACCCCTTTAAGGTTTCTGAAGATTAAACATGATGTTTTGTGATTTTCTAAGTTAAAAAGTAACTATTTTAACTATTGAGAGAATTAGAAAGTATAGTAAAGATGTTGTTTGTGTGGTTTGTAGGTGGAATAATATGTGATTGTGCACATTTTTTTTACAGGTTCGCAACTTTTATGGTGCTTTTTTTCTTTTTTCGGTGTTTGACAAAATCGCCATCTTTCATTGTATGTTTTCACTTTCATTGTATGTAAATAAAAATCAGCAGCTCAGATGTTCTGCACAATTTCCCCTTTTGTGCTCCACAGAAAAAAAAAAAGAAAAAAAAGGCATACAGGTTAACATTGACATTAGGGTAAGTAAATAATGACAGTATTTTAATTTTTAATTGAGCTATGGACCTTTTTCACATTTCCGGGTTTCTCAGCTGCGGAAGTCATCATAGTTGGGTTTACTTGAAGAGCAGTGAATGGGAGAGTACCACAAATATATTTTTTGAATGGCAATTTGCTGTTTTCATGACTTTCAAAAAAAGGGAAAAAATTGAGAGAGGCTAGTAATGGCAGTAAGAAGACAGAACGATGTCAAATTTACCCATTCCCTCCCATAGATGTTGCATCAGAAACACCCTCGCATTAGCGTTAACTAGTTTTTTTGTAATTTGATGCAAAGGTGATATAATAGAAAGTATAGTGTTATAATTGTACATACATTTAAAAAAAAAAAAATCAAAACATTAAAAACTTTTGAGGATTTACGATGCTGATGACCACTAAACGCGTCATCACAGTCTTGTGAAAAGGGTCAATCCTTAGAGTTTCTTAAGATTAAACATTATGTTTTGTTAAAGTTAAAGCCAAAAAGTACACACAAAATTAGTAAAGCTGTTGTCAATGGGTTTTGTAGATGGAATAATGTGTGATTGTGTACATAGTTTTTTTTTACAGGTTCACTACATTTATAGTGCTTTCTTTTTTTCTTTTTTTTTTGTGCCTGACATTTAAAACCACCATCCACTTTCAACAGCAGCTCAGATGTTCTGCAAAAATTCTCCTTGTGTTCCCCAAAAGAAAAAAGGTGAGTAAATAATGACAGGTATTTTCATCTTTGAGTGAACTTATACCTTTAAGGTTTCTAAAGATTTAACATGATGTTTTTTGAGAGTTAGAAAGTCTGCAAGAAAGTAGTGTAGAAGTTGTTTGTGTAGTTTGTATGCGGAATAATGTGTGATTGTGCACATTTTCTTGCAGGTTCACACACACACGCACCAGGAGGGATCTGAAGCCCACGCGACACAGACACCTCAACCGAATGTAAAACAAACGCACTCGATTTCACTCTTCAAAAAGACGTTCACCACCTTCAAAGCCTTATGACGAAAGCGGAGCGGAACGCTCCAAAACAGGCAACAAACAACTCGTTTATACATTCTCCTAATTCCTCTCCGACGGGCCTCGATGTCTTTCTTCAGCAACAGACTGTTGGGGATCATGGCTTCAACGTTGCGGTTTTAAGACTCAGTCGTCTCCCCTCCCCGCTCCTCCGTATCTCTGTGATAAACGCCGGAGCAAATTCAAAGCCAAACAAACACGGATTCAAAGAAAGATTTTTGTGGCAACTTAAGGAAAGCGCATGTTCGTGACAACGTGTCGCCGGGGAGTTTGTTCAGTCGGTGCTCGCTCAGATAGACCCTGGCTGCTCATCCTGAGCAGGGAAGTGCATTTGCTTGATTATCATTAAAAAAAGAGAGATGATGTCTTCAGAAGTCAGAGGGGATATTTATCAGACTCGCAGTTGGAGACGTGATGACGTGTCTCTTCTAATAGAGCAGCCTCAAGGCTCTGGGCCTGTGTGCGCAGGTTATGATCCCATGAGAAGTGAATAAGTAAAGCACTGACTGATCACATGTATTTACTTCATGCTTGCCTTTTGTCCTGTAATGAATATCAATGAATGAAGCGGTGAATGTGGATGTAACGTATGCTATTGGATGGCATACTTATTCAAATGAATATTAATGCAACGTAAAGTGGTGCAGACTATATGACACAGCAGATAATGCTTTTTATCATTTACATTTACCATTATAAACCATAGTTCATAAGAAAATAAAACAGTAAATTCTTAATAAATTACTAAAGGATATATTTCAGCAAGCTGAAAAAAGCTGCTTTGCTGGTCTTAGTTGGTTTGAACTGGTCTTACAGCCTGCAGTAAAACTGGCTTAAAGTTTCTTAAAGCAGGGTTTGTTGAAACCTTTTCAACATTCGCCTGTTTGCAATCCATTGTACTTCAGTAACTGACATATTTATGAGTAAAAATCATATTCACTGAGAACAAATGGAGGCAGGATATTTTATCGTCTGGGATTTGTGACGTGAGCTAAAACGGAAAGTCATTTAAAACCAATTACTACATTTGGAAAATGTTTGACATTTTGATTTTAATATATAGGCCTACTGATGAATCATACACCATAAAACCAGGAAAGTTTTAATAATAAATGCTGATACCATGGTGATTTTTCTTTACCATGGTATAGGAATTGTTTGGGGCTAAATTTAAGATCACATGTTTGTGAATGAGAAATGAATTTATAATGATGTAATCAAAGTTAGGAAGATTTACAACGATTCCTTTTTTATTACAAGCTGCGTTCTCTTGCAGACTAGACTGTGAAAGCACCATAAATCACTCTATTTTTATAGGTGTATATATTTATTTTATTTCCACGACATACTTTTACTACTGCTTGCTCAAACTTCATACAAAACAAAAGGAAAAACAACATGACCTGTTATCAGTTTTCATTCAAAATCCCATACCTGTCTGAAAGCAAATGTTCAGACAAGAAAGAAAAGCTCACAAAGACGGAGAGGAGGGAGCGCCGCAGGAAAGTTCCACATGCAATCTTTTTTGTTTGTTTGCGAGTGTAAACGCAGTTGTGATGAAATATTGATGCTCCCTTCCAAACTGTCTTGTAAGTCGTCTCCGTTCTTTCAGGCTTTCCATCTGTAGCACCTGAGGAAGAGGACGGGAACGCCGAGCTGTCAGGAGAGATGAGCTCACGCTCTCTGCGGCAGGCTGTCAAATGCGACACATCCCCTTCAAGAGCAGACACAAGAGCAAACTTCCGCTACTCCTCGATCTTTGTCTCTTTCTCTATCTGTGTCTTTCTTTCTTTATCTGTTCTTCTCCTTTGCACTTCTATTCGAATTGTAGGACAGTAGCTATGGCAGACTTGTGCATCATGACCTATGGAATCAGAGGTGTCCTTCATTTGTAGGTAATGAACATTTTTTATGGAAGTGATTGATCAAAAACAGTTCACCTTGCTCATTAAGGCACAAACAGTTTTATGGGATCAGGGCATTATGGCCGGGGTTGTTTTTTTTTTTTTTGAGGAAGCACTAGTGCCAGTTCTAGCTTATTTGGTGCATGAGTTGACATAAGACCAAAGAGTAGAAAACACCAGATTTTATATATACACAAAGGCAACATTTTCATTTAGTTTAATGATGTACTAAAATAAACTGAAATAAAAATTCATTAAAAAAACTATATAGACATATTTAAAAAACTAATAAAAATGACAAAAACAACTAAATCGCTAAAACTTTAAGTAAAATTAAAATGAAAACTAAAATGTAAAAAAATCTAGTGCAAAATATTAATAAAAATCTTGGTGATACTAAAATAGCATTATATTATATTATATTATGGATGTTCAGGTATATTATTGTTACTATTAATATTTTGCTTCACTGTAAAACAGTCTTAAAGGGGTCATATGATGCGATTTCAATTTTTCCTTTCTCTTTGGAGTGTTACAAGCTCTTGGTACATAAAGAAGATCTGTAAAGTTGCAAAGACTAAAGTCTCAAATTCAAATCCA